CATAAATGCATGTTTTTGGAGCTCGAGATGAACTCCGGGTAAGCTGAGATCGATTGATTTCGGCTCTGAGATGGTGAAATTTTTGGATATGTAGGGAATATAGGCGCCTCCAAGCACCGAAATCCATTAACACGTTTGTTGGTGGTCGAGCAATCCGAGATGGTACTGCAAGGAACCTCTCCCAACTCAGTTGCTTAAGTGATTTAATATCTCGTCCCAGTTTTAAATATATATTTTAAACACACAGAGCTAATAAATATTTAATTTAGATATTTATTTTACAAATAAATCTATGAAAGTAAAGATTAGATATGGATCATAAATCAAAAATGGGTTTTAAATCTTTATTTTATAAGTCATCAAATTTAAAAGTAAGAGATTGAGATTTTTTTAATTTTAAATTTGAAAACGAAAAACATTTAAATTCAAAAAAATAAGATTTAATTTAATTAATTATAATATTAATACATACTTAAAAACATTTAAGTTAAAAATTGAAATAACCCATAAATTAATTTGCTTAACTTTAACATCTATTAAAATTTAGGGACTGTTGTTTATTTCAGAATGATTAAGCGTTAAATGATTTAAATACTGAATGATTCAGAGGCCTGAATGAATTAACTCTAAACGTGACATGTTGTTTGATAATGACTCTGAATCATTCAGAATATACTTCTGTGCTGAATCATTCAAAATATACTTTTGTGCTGAATCATTCAATACTGTTTTGCTGAATCAGTCAGTGCTGAATCATTCAGAGGTACGAAACAAACACGCTAAATACTAAACGATTAAACATTCAACGCTGAATGATTCTATTAAAAGACAAACAAACAACATAAAATAACTAAACAATTTTTTTTTGGTGCGGGCGGCCCTCTTATCTGCCGATAATGTGGATGACAACTTTCGATAGTAGAAGGAAAACAATCTTAGTTCAGTGACCATTTGAGTAATTTAGCCTTTCTAATTATTAATGACATTTGATTACGCCAAACCCACGTTATTTCCCCGAGTGAGTCCATTCTGCCATTCCTGTTTGGCAAACGAGAAAATATATGTTTTCCTCTCTTATATTTTCACCCTAGCATCTTGGACCTAAAACCCTAGCCCCTCTTTCAAATCCACCATAGTTTACTGTTTTTGCTTTCTCATATCGCGAAGGGATTTCCAGGTCAGAGCCTCACGTTTCTTTGTTTGTCTTTTCTCCTATTTAATCTTTTTTTCCTGGCGGCAGTCTCTCCTTTCTCCGAATTTACGTTTCCAAATATGTAATTTATTTTAGAAGTTTTGAAAAACATGAGATATGATTAACAAATTTTATTCAAAGTAACTAGAAATCTTATGTTCTATACTGCTTATTTTCTGTGCCCTAATTTTTTTCCGCACAATTTCTGTATCGTTTCATGTAGAAATACGGATTTGGACTGAGTTGTTTAGTTTAAGTTCTTTTTCATTGCAGGTTTTATTTCGTTTTGCTTTGATTCTTCCTTGGTAAGTTCATTTTTATTATCGATCGAAAATGCCTGGGGTAATACCAATATTACCCCTTCCGGCACCACCGTCTGATGGAGATTTAGGACCATTACCACCATCTCAAGTGTTGGAAACTCAAAATGAAGAGGCACCACCGAATGAAGAACAAAACAAAGCCAGCTCAATTGCAACCCACACTAGAACCATTGGAATCATTCATCCTCCTCCAGATATCAGGAATATTGTTGATAAAACTGCTCAGTTTGTTGCCAAAAATGGACCCGAATTTGAGAAACGAATCATTGCCAACAATGCTAACAATGTTAAGTTCAATTTCTTGACTAGTTCAGATCCCTACCATGCTTATTATCAACATAGGCTGTCTGAGTTTCGAGCTCAGAATCAGAACCAGTCCAACTCCCAACAGCAGCAACCGGATTTGCAGCCTGTTGATTCTGCTCCGACAGAGCCTGCTACAGCTGCAGGTGCTGATGGGAATGATTTGGCAGTGGCAGTAGCTAAGCCTGATCCTGCTGCTCCGTTTAGACTGCCAGTGAAAAAGAATCTTGAACCACCTGAAGCTGCTCAATATACTGTTAGACTTCCTGAAGGGATTACAGGGGAAGAGCTGGATATTATTAAGCTTACGGCACAGTTTGTTGCACGAAATGGGAAATCGTTCTTGACTGGATTGACTAGTAGGGAGATTAATAATCCCCAGTTCAATTTTTTAAGGCCCACTCATAGTATGTTTACCTTTTTTACCGAACTTGCTGATGCATATTCCAAAGTGTTGATGCCTTCTAAGGGTTTGACTGAGAAGTTGAGAAAGAGTGTAGCTGATATGACAACTGTGCTCGAGAGGAGCTTGCATCGATTGGAATGGGAACGCTCACAGGAGCAAGCTAGGCAGAAAGCAGAGGATGAGATTGAGCAGGAGAGAATGCAAATGGCAATGATAGATTGGCATGATTTTGTTGTGGTTGAGACTATAGACTTTGCAGATGATGAGGATGAGGACTTGCCTCCTCCAATGACAATCGAGGAGGTCATAAGGAGGAGCAAGGTATCTACTATGGAAGAAGATGAAATTGTTGAGCCTGGAAAGGAGGTTGAAATGGAAATGGACGAAGAAGAGGTACAGCTTGTTGAGGAAGGCATGAGAGCTGCTAGCATTGAAGAGAATGATGGTGAAAAGAAAGATGTAAGAGCAAACGACGAACCCGAACCACCGATGAGAATTGTGAAAAACTGGAAGAGGCCCGAGGAGAGAATCCCTGCTGAAAGGGATCCTACCAAGTTTGTTGTTTCACCGATAACTGGTGAACTGATTCCCATTAATGAGATGTCGGAACACATGAGAATTTCCTTAATTGATCCAAAATACAAGGAGCAGAAAGAGAGGATGTTTGCAAAGATCAGGGAGACAACTCTTGCTCAGGATGATGAGATTTCGAGAAACATTTGTGGACTTGCACGCACACGTCCTGATATCTTTGGTACCACCGAGGAAGAAGTCTCGAACGCTGTCAAGGCAGAGATTGAGAAAAAGAAAGATGAGCAACCGAAACAGGTTATATGGGATGGTCATACTGGAAGCATTGGACGAACTGCAAATCAAGCCATGTCTCAAACTATGATGGGAGAGGATCAAAACGAAGCAGCTATCAACAATGCTCAGAACCTCCCTGGTCCCGCTGCTCTTCCTCCTAGACCTGGTGTTCCATCAATTCGACCCCTCCCCCCACCACCTGGTCTTGCTTTAAATCTCCCTCATGTTCCTTCAAACGCTCCCCAATATTCCACAGCTTCTAGTGGTGGGTTTCCTATGTCATTACCTCAACCTCGACCCATGAGTGTTCAAATGATGCAACCAATTCGTCCACCACCACCTCCAATGCAAATGGCACCTGGCCAACCACACATGATGATGAATCGACCACCCCAAATGCCTCCATCAATGTCCATGAACGCTGCTAATGTTCCTGTGCCCCCTCCACCGGGTTCTCAGTTTACCCCTGTGTCAGTTCCTAGACCCTTTGCCCCTCTTTCTGTCCCACCACCTGCTATGCCTATGATGCAGCCACTTCCACCTCTGCCCCAAGGAATGCCTCCACCACCACCACCAGAAGAAGCTCCTCCACCACTTCCTGATGAACCTGAGCCAAAGAAACAAAAGCTTGATGATTCTATGCTTATTCCCGAAGATCAGTTCCTTGCTCAGCATCCGGTAGGAGGATCCCTTGATCTTATTCCGACGTACCCCTACTTTTTATTTACTTGCTTTGTCGTACCTCTAACAACTGTTGATTGGGATCTCTTGTAGGGACCTGCTCGTATTACTGTATCGGTTCCAAACCTTGATGAAGGAAATCTCAAAAGACAACTTCTCGAGATCACAGTACAGGCCTTATCCGAAACGGTTGGCAGTTTGAAAGAGAAAATTTCAGGGGAGATCCAGCTTCCTGCGAACAAACAGAAACTGAGTGGAAAAGCTGGGTTCCTGAAGGACAATATGAGCCTTGCATATTACAATGTTGGAGCAGGAGAACCACTGGCTCTTTCATTAAGGGAACGTGGTGGGAGGAAGAGATGATGAGGTTTCGAATCAGGCTATTGTAAGGTTTCTGTTTGAACTTGAATTTTTTTTTGGAATCTTTGGAGATTACATTTTCATTGGTTGGGTCCTTTATTTTTACGAATTTACAATTAGTATAGGATTAAATTCCTTAGATTAAAAGTAAAGGTATTTAATTTCAAATGTGCAATGACCGAAAGCAATGGGTGGCTGGTTTCCATAGGTTTTCGGTGTCAATACCAACACAATCGAATTTAAATCATTTGATTATTGAGCTTGATACTGTCTCTTTTATCAGTTTTATGAAGAGTCCTCTCATTCGAAGAACAGGTTACCAGATTCTCTTATTTTTTATTGCAGGACCATGTCGAACCACTTCCAGAGACTCGGATTATCCAGACTCGCCACGAGGGCAATAGGCTTGCCGGTGCCTTGGCTAGAAGAGGGAGTGATGCTAACATGTATGGAAATTCCGATGTTAGGTGTAATGGTATTAACTCGGGTTGTAGTTCTGATGTTTGTTTTGGAGGATGCTACTGGACATGGCTTGCATCGTACTCTCTCTTAATTTAATGGAACTTGCCTTTCTTTCCAGAAAAGAGAGAGCATAACTAAACCTTGTTTGTTGATTGAATCTTTCGAGTGAAAATAAACAGGGAAAGAATTTATATAATTAATGTAAAATTTATTTTTATATTAATTTTATTATATAATTAAATAAAAAATTGGATTGAATTTATACGATTTTGTCAAAAGCATGATCGTAGGGCGGCATCTATTATTGTTAGGTGTAAATTATAAATTTATCTTGTCCAGGAATCATGTGAAATAAAGAGCAATATTAATTTACACAAATTTCACTTTGGTAATGTATGGCACCAAAAAGCCATTTACAGAAACTATTCAAAGCAATACAAATTTTGTTGGAAATTACTCTCCCAAACCTTTACATTTTAGCCAATTAAAATGCCATCAAAGCAATAAAAAATCATCATTAAAGAAAAAACACACACAAGCTCTTCAATTAATTCACGAAAGCACAATGCTTCCTAATCTCACCTTGATTCCCAGTTAGTACTCCCACTTTACCCATTTTCACCATCGACACCGCAAAATCTTTATCGAAAGTCGATCCGCGGATGGAAGCTTGATGGAATACATAAGCTTTTGTCTCCGCGTCACTGAGAAGTGCCGCGTCAGATTCGAACAACCCCCTTCTTTTAGTGATGAGAGTGTAGTAATCATCGTCGAAGGTCTTGAAGCTTCCGGGGTCCATCTCCACCAATGTTGTGGTGTCTCCTGGCTTGCATTTTTTCTTCAGTTGAGCGACGTAATTCGGATCCATTGACGGGTCGGTGTCGCCTCTGCCAGTGAAATTGTAGAGACGGTTGCCGAAGGCAACACAATGAGATGTCCCAATAGTGTGCCCTCCTTTATAAATCATGAAAAGAGCATACATAACAACATTACGCCGGTTTAAATGTCTGAAGGTACGTCCGATGTCGGAATGGATTTAAATAGAAAATGAGTACCATTTTTTAAAGAAAAAAAAATACCTGATAGAACGGCTAGATCTTTCATGTTTAGACCTTTAGAAGCAAAATTTTGTTTGAGTTGTGTTATATTGAAAAAAGGAGAAGGTAAGTTCGCGAGTGCTTCGTTCAATCTCGAAACTCTTCCGTCTCTTCGTCCCAGGGGAACTTCCCACGAAGGTCCATGTATCTGAAAAATTCACTCAAAACAAATCCAATTTAATCGGACTTCGAACACTGTCGGTGAACTCGGTGATATTTTCGAATACAAGTACACAAATATGTCAAATGAACTCGGTGATATTTTTACCATGGAAACTGAATCTCGAGCAACCAAGGCAAGGATATCGGCACATGAAACCACATCAGGACAGACTTTTTCGACAGCAGATTTGACGGCATCGATCACATGGTAACCTCGTAAACTTAGGTTGGGGAATGCGTCTCTCTCAGCTTGGTTGTTACTTGAATTCAAAAGGACCGATCCGTCACATCCCTTTAAAAAAAAAAGTCAATGTTCACTCTAATTTATCGAATAAAGACATGTTTCTGAACGATAATGTTCTCGTGCTCTAGCACTCATGTTTCAACATACATCAGATTCATGTGTCGGATACCGATAACTTACTCTAACGAAACAGTCGTGGAAATGGAGCCGGAGCAAAGGAGCAGCGAGAGTCGGTGCTCGAGAAATGAACCCGTAAGTCGTTTTTCGGATAATCGACTCGGCATTCGGACATGTTTTGTGGTAATAACCCAGGTTCAAACCCTGTACATTGCTGTGGCTCAAAACCAGGACAGCAACAACAATCAACTGCAACAGAAACACCCTTTTGCCGACAACCATTTTTGCCTTGAGCTAATTATCGAACTGATTATTCTTACATTGAAACCATATATTATATATAGTGTAAGAACAGAGATTGGTTGAGCTTTTGATAAATTAAATCACTAACTATAAGGAATCGTGCATGAATTATTTATCAGTTTGTTGATTGATGATGTTAATGTCTTAACTTCAATTTTGTAATATAATTAATCATTAATGTCCGATTAATATTATATGTTTTCACAAACATTTATATTATCCAACGAATGGTAGATTTAATGGGACAAAATATGTCAAAAAGTTTTGATGGTGAAATGGTAACTAAAATGGAAAAACATTAATTAATTAGTTAATTGATAAACAATATATATTAATGAGTAGACAATGATAAACTTAATCCTTCCAAAGTTTTTGCAATTATAAATCAATGGGTAAAAGACAAAGTTCATGACTCAACTTTAGACTCGTTTATGTTTTAGTCACTAAACTTTGAATTAGTCACCAAACTTTGAATTAATTATGACATTGCCCATGTTTTATTCACTCCAACGTTATAAATAATATGATGACATGGAATGTAAGTCATATGTAGTCCACTGTTTTTTCCCCTTTCATTTCTTCGGTTATTTTTAGGGATGTTTATTTTTTGATTTTAATTGAATTAACCGACCGAACCGAATTATTTTGGTTAATTCGGTCGGCTATCGAATTAGTTCGGATGGGGAACGGTTAACATTTTTTTCAATATTCGGTTAACGGTTAATTCAGTTCGAATTTAGTTAATTAACCGAATTAACCAAATTAACCGAAATTATTAAATATGAAATATATTATATATATTAAATATATATTTTAAGCTCAAACTCATTGAGAATTAAGACTCAATTATTTTTTAATCACGCTAAACTCATTGAATTATCAATATCTAATTAAAATTTTAACCCAAATAAAAAAATATTTATATTACATTCAAATTAATCTAATTAAAAAATTATAATTTTTTTTGGTTAATTCGGTTAACCGATCGAAATAACCGAACTTTATTCGGTTCAATTAATATTAAAAAAAAACCTTATTCAACCAACAGTTAAAAAAACGTTCGATTAATTCGATTAATAGAAATTCGGTTCGATATAGTTGAACCAATCTTCATATCTTCTCTATAACCATCCTTAACGCATGTAAAAACGAAGATGATAGCTTGTTTAGTTACCTAGTTTTATGATTTCAGCTGTTAACACAATAAAAAAAAAACCTCAACTAAGTTAAAATTGAAAAAAGGGAAAAAAAAAAAAGAAAATTTGTTTTCGGTTTTGGTGGATCTCCGACTATTAAAGTCTCCATTTTAAAATCCCAACATTAAAAAGACCACTCTTAGAACAAGCAACATATCCTCGTTTAGACTCCATCTAATACAAGAAATCTAAACATTCAATGTTAGATTCGTGGAGTCTGGCAGTTAAACAAACACAAAATCCGCGTCTACGAGAAAGAAACAAGTTTAATGACAAATTTTAAAACTCGTCGATCATAAATAACAGTGGTCAATACGATATTCAGTCCCGATGAGCAGTAGTTGAAATCTAGGTTGGTTTGGACATAAGAAGAAGAAGAAGAAGAAGAAGAAGAAAAGAAAAAATAATGTAAAGAAAAATGACTGTCATATAGATCTAAAACAACATGATTTTATTCTTTATCATAGGGATCTAAAACAAAAGTATTTTCGTATAAACTATCACGTTATCATATCATTTGTAATTTAATAGAAGATTAATATCAAAGTTGAGAAATCAGATTGAAAATTTTACTAATCGAAATAGAAGTGAAATTAAAATTAAGTAATGAAATTTGTTGTTTACCATAAATTAATAATTATCATTTGAACCTCAAAGAATATAAAATTAAAACGTAACCCTAAAATAGATTTGGAGCTTCGCCCCTGTTTCCAAAGCTTATAATAGAAGCATAGATTCCATCCCAACCACCGCAGCCACGACGAATATCGGTTGGTTTCTTAGTTTAATTGAAGTCAACAAAGCACAGCTGTTAACAGCCGTCGCAATTTGATTATTACACCAAGAGGGAAAAATGAACTTTTCCCACAGCCGGTTGGTCCTCCGGGATGGGCATGGGTCGGGTTTTTGGTCAATTCGACCCGATCTGAGACCAAAGGATCCTCCACCCGAGATTCGACTCGACCCGACCAAAATAAGATTTCACCCGACCCGAACCGATATATAACTTAAAAACCGACTCGATCCGACCCGAAATAATAAAAAAAATATTTTTATTCTATAAAATCAGAGACTTAATTAAAAATATATATATATACAGGGTATTATTGCAATTATTCTAAAATATATAAAGTAAAATTATATTTTTTCAGGCCGGGTTGGATATTTTTCACCCTAAACTCGAACCCGATCCGAACCCAATTTTTTTTTTTAAAAAAACACGACCCGCTCGGGTTGAATCGGTCGAGTTCGGGTCATATGCCATGCCCATCCCTAGTCCTCCCTTTGGACTATTGTTTGTTTGTTACACCAAGTACTCGTGCAATTTACCTACCCACAGCCGAGACACCGGACTCCGTCTCAAACCTCCAAGCATGTCACAAACGCTTCCCAATTGTGCATACGGCTGCTACTCATCCGGTGCGTACGATATCGCTCTCGAGTCTCACTTGCGGACCATGACACTAGCAGCAACCTAACGAGGAATTAAGTGCGAATTAAATGACATCGAATAATTATATGAACCAATCAAATTAAACTTCGAATTTAACTATTACACCTTTGTATTACACAAAGAAACAATTAGATGCCCTCCAACGAGAGTAGAGAAGCCAAAAGAAACAAGGGGGACAAATGAACTTTTCTCCGTAGCCATTTCCTTCCCTATCAGAAATGAGAAAATGAGAGAGAATTTGGATTGTGGATAGCAAACCACACACACACACATATATATATTCAACGTTAATAGTTGACTTCGCCTGAATGTTGGGCTTGTTGGTGCAATTGAGTCCTTTCCTTGTAATCGACCGACTATTAGTTTTTTTTAATAACGTGATATGGTTATAGGTATATTTATTCAGAATATTTTTAATTTATTGATAACGTATCTTGCAGATATAATTATTTGAACCCATGATCTCTAGAGAGAATAATTTTTTTCTTTTACCACTGAAATCACTTGATAAATTCACCGAATATTAGTTGAATTATCATTGTTGTTGTTGTAATATTTTGGAGATGGTAATTTAGGTACATTTAAATGTAAATTTCTTCAATTTAAGAGTTGAAGTATTATATATAGTTTTAAGTATTGTAATTTGTATGAACTGCTTCTTAAAATAGGATTTACAAATATATCCACCCATGAGGCTATAATATGTTGATATATGGTTGTTGTGTGAATCAATTCTAAAATTTAATTAATCTCAATATTCTCGGTGTATATTATTTACTCATTATTTACAAAAAGTCTAAAAGTTATAAAATTGATTTTTCTCTCTCTAGTTAATAATTTTTTTTAATAATAATTTGATATCTAATTCAACGATTAATTGATTTAGAATCGAATGCTATAGATAACATAGAGATAAATTTTTATCCGACCTGATACGATCCTAATAAAATCTGATATTGACTCGAGTTTAAATAAAATTTTAATAAAAAACTCAACCTAAATTAATATAATATTCAATTCTTCATATATTTTTTAAATAAATCAATAATTGAATAAAAATATTAATTTATTCAAGTCAATGACATAAAATTTTTATAGTAAAATTTAATAGCATAATTCTATTATTAATAATAATATATAAAAAATATTATCATAATTATTTTAGATCAAAATATATCTAAACTCGAATTCAACAATGACTAATTTTAAAAACTCATCTTACGTACCCGACCTCCAATTTCAAAAATATTCGCTATTTTATAATATTAACTAATACAAATTCGTAGATTAATTATTTATTTATTTGAATATACAAATAGTAATTATCCGAATCCACAAAAACAAATTTATTTTTATTTTATCTACAAATATTCGAATTGCATAATTTGTTTATAAAGTTTGATTAAATAACTTTATGTGTAAATATATTTTTAGTAGTCCAATGTTCAATGTGTGTTATTTTGATCAATCAATTATAAAAATGTTCAATTTCATCACTAATTTTTTTTATTTTATTCTTTTAGGTCACTCGAACGTTAATTGTTTAATACCATGATGTTAAAGAACCAAAACATTGTTTTTTTTACCCTTATATTTCTGGAACTAAGTTAATATTTTAGTCTTCTTGCTCCGCTTGGCCGACATCCTTCTCCACGACCATCGACCATAGTTTTTCCCTAGAAATCAACAAAGCTTAAATTAAAGAAGACTCGATCTTATTTTGGTTCAATCTTCAATCTTAAATTAAATTAGAATACTTAGGCCTATGTGCTCTAGGCCATCTCGAAAAACAGATCAACTAAGTAAGCCCATCCCGGCATGGCACATGGGTCCTCATCAGCCTATACACCAGCAGACTTACCTGCCATTATTATCACTTGCAATTGGAATGAACAAAATAATTAACCGGCAAAAGCTCAAATCTGACCTCGCATACAAGTTTTCTGCCAATGCTTTAACTACGATTTAACACAAAGAGAGTAACCATTGTTGCCTGAGGACGAGAATTCGCCATGGAAATCGGTTAAAAGAAGAGATCCACATCGTCGATGGCACACCGGTCAAAAGAATGATACTTTAACGAAAGGATCACAATGAAATGATTATGATAGTTTGAATATTAATATAGAATATTTCAAAATTTAGGGGGCCAATATAGAATGGGTCATAATTTAGATATTAATATAAAATGTTTTAAAATTTAAGGAATAATTTAGAATATTGATCATAGTTTGGGGACCCCTTGTACAATAAGCTCTAAATTATTATACAATTATATGTTAACTAGAATAATACCAAATGAGTTAAATATAAAAAATATTATTGATTTCATTTTTATACTCAGCATTTAAAACTAAAATTATTATTTTTGTTTATCCCATTAATGAGATGGTATATTATGATTGCCTAATTATTAAATATTAACTCAGAAAAGGAAAAACAATTTAAAAAATACCATTAAATTGACAGAAAGAACTGGAAAGAAATCAAACCAAATAGCAAAGAAGTCCATCCAAAATAGATTTCTACTCGATGCCCAAATAGCATTCAACTCTCAATATCTAACAAAATCAAGCACCCTTCTCTCTTTAATTATTGCTTTTAAATACTCCAATTTTCCAGACTAATTATAGTCATCATCGTAATTGCATAAAATTTCAGTAAAATCCACTTTTTTTTTTCTTTTCTCAAAATGGGCAGTGCCAAAGCTTCTCGAGGTATCAAAATATGTTGTGGTGTGGCTGCAATTTTCATAGTCATCGTTGCCATCGTCTTCCTTATCTTGGCGCTCACTGTTTTCAAGCCGAAGAACCCAGAAATCGTGGTTTACCCGCTGGGTCTCGAGGACATCGGTCTGGGTTTAAGAGGGATTTTGAACGCGAGCGCGATAAACGCGACGGTGTCGATGGTTATCGCCGTTAACAACCGTAATTACGGGAGCTTCAAGTTCAAGAACACGACGGGTTTTATAAACTACCGTGGCGATATCGTCGCCACGGTTCCGATCCAACAATCGCTGGTTCCCGCCCGTGGGAAGCTCAACATCAGCACCGTTGCCGATTTCATGGTGGACCGTTTGGTTTCGAACGCTACGTTTTGGTCGGATGTTTTGGCGGGCTCCGTCAACTTCTCGTCGGATGCGACGGTGCATGGGAAGGTGACGATGTTTAACGCTTTGAAGATTCATGCATCGGTTCCAAGTAAATGTGATATCTCGATTTTTATCCGTTCTCGAACTGTTCAGTCGATCTGTAAGACCAAAATTAAGTTGTAAAATTTGCCATGTGCCGATTTCTGAATATTCAAAATTCAATTTGATAATCGATATGCAAATTTTAGATTAAAAAAATGTAACTATTTAATTGTTAAATATTATGGTACTTATAAGCTGTAAATTGCCTTTTTGGTACTATTATGCTTCTACTGGAAAAAATAGATTAGGTCAAAAACAGATTGTGCCAAAAGTTGGATTTTAAACATTTTTGGACTTAAACTTTATGTTCTAAAATATAGATATTATATATGTACACACACATATATATTGTGCCAAAAGTTGGATTTTAGAACCTCTTTGGATTTAAACTTTATTTTATAAACTATAATGAAAAAATTTATTTATTAAAATTAACAAACTTTTTAGAATATATTTCTATAAATTAACAAAGCTTTCTATAATAGATGAGAAGGAAAAATTAAAACATTATATTCATCATTAGTTAAATAATTTATTTGTTTTTCCAGCAATCAGTTGGTCTTGTGAGATCAAGTACTAGTAGAGATATACATGGTTCGGGTTGGGTTGGACTTTCAATCAATATGATCCGACTAAAAAATTATACACCCGACCCAATCCGATTGCCTTTTTAAGATAAAATCCGACCCGACTCAATCTGAAATAATATATTTATAAAAAATAAGGATTTAATTAAAAAATATATAAGGGTATTATTGTAATTATCCCTAAATATAAGGTAAAATTATATATTTTTTCGAGTATGTTCGGATATTTTTTACCCTAAAGTCGAACCCGACCCGAACATGACCACTAAAAAACCCCGACACAACCCGATATTTTTTTAAAATATGACTCGATAGGGTCGGGAAGAGTCAGATCGAAACCCATCGAATTTGGATCTTGTGTCTATCCCTAAATACTAGATTCCTTAAGCAAGATGTCAATGTCATGAGTTTGAATCTTGACGTTTGTGTATGGAGCAAATTGAGTTCGGAAGGTTTCTTCCTATATTTGATCTCTATAATATTTGATTTGAATTATTCGATTAATAAATTAGATACCAATGGTTATACCTAAAAAATAATTTGATCATTTTGTGATTTGATTCTAATTTAGTTGTTTCTTTATTTATTTTTATTCTTTAATTGCTCTTTTTGAAAATAATTTTATTTTTAAAATATAGTTCCTAAACTTTTTATGATTTTCTTATTTATTAAATTACTCTATTTCACGTCCAACTTTTGATTAAATTTGAATCACATTACCCTAAATTACTTTATAATGCCTATGAAACTTTAACTATTATTTTTAACAAATTATTTTTACTTTTTCAATTTACTTATTAAACTTTTTATTTTATTCAATTTATCAACTGGTCGTTACTCTTTATAAATTATTTCTTCCTATTAATTTCTTAAATATTTATCTGAAATTAATTAATAATTTGATGTTTATCCGAAATTGATTTAATTGAAAATAAAATTTTATTTAAATTCATCCATATTTATAAATAGTCCATCAAATCCTTTTTCATCTGATTTTAATTTAATATTTAATATTTTATATTTGCATTAAATTAATTTTTTTGTTTTGTTTTGTTTTTTTTAAATTGAGCGGTCGACAAAAGGCATTTCGATGATTTTTTAGTTCGATTCTTGAATGAATGGCCTGCATTAGCTGTTGGATATTTATTAATATTTAAACCTTTGTCCTCCTTCATTTTCTTTCTTTCTTTCTTTTATTTACTTATTTAGTTAATTTAACCTTTAAAAATGCATAAAATTAGAATACATTAAACGACTTCAGTGGTAAAAAAAAATATTATTTTTTCTATATATTTTAGGTTTGGACAACTATATCTACAGAGTATCTTTACGTTATAAATAATTTAAAAAGTTAAACAAATATATCTTATAATTAACTCAGAATATTAAAAAAATTACAAAAAACTAGACATTGGTCATATGTTTTAGAACAAAGTACATTTAAAATGAAATGAAGACTTATCATCTCATCACAAGCAAGGAAAATAAGTGATCAATACATATCATAGTCTTAAATTATAACCGTAGCACATCGTAACGATCGTAATTGTATTATAACATAACATACGTATCATCTGCAACAACCATCGTAATTTAGTACTGCGATACAAACATAAATTTTCTTACTTCTATCATATGTGATTAATGTACAACTGGATTCAATGATCTCAAAGGAAGACATGAGAGAGGATAATAAGAGGGAGTGGCTGCAAGTAACATAGCGGCAGCGACATGATATTATGATCGTTAATTTTCGATTTCGACTTTTGTTGTTATCGATGCGACATGATCGAAAATTACAGTCGTGCCGGAGGATTACCGATATTAACCGAGATAGTTAACTAACATCGAGATAGTTAACTAAGGCCTGCTTGATCTTCTCTCTTTCTGGGATTCATATCATTTGATTTCCAGTCATCACGGACCTATTAAAAGTTGTTGAAACCAGTCGACTTAAGATACACCAAAGCTAAAGAGAAATGCAGAAATAATTAAGTTCTATTACCTTGGGACTATTGACAGGTGAGCTTGCGGTATCCTCCAAAGAATCATCCTCGTCGTCACGAATCTCTTTGGTTCTTGTTTTCTTGAACCTCCATTTATTGGGAAAAGCATGGCGATTATGGTCGATGTTTTTGTCGGATGATTTCCATGCAGCGCCTGGAGTCGTCGCGGCATCAGAGACCAACGAAGAACCGCAAACGAAACTAGAACTATAACAGTTTTGCTGCTGCTGCTGATGATCATGTCGATGATTGTTTTTTGAGGAATCTACAAAATAAGCAGTCCAGCCACTTTCTTCGACTGAATCCTCGTCGTCTTTGGGTGTTGTTTTTTGCTTGGAAACAACGTATGAATTGATGGAGTAATCTTCCATATCCAAAAGAGAGAGATGAGTTCTATAGATTGAAAAGAAAGTCGAGAAGCTCTTGACAATGGAGGATTTATAACAAGTGAAAGGAGGAGGAGCTTGTTTACAATAATATTACACAAAAGGAACCCACAGTTTAGAATCACGGTGAGACCCAAGTGTGGGCCAAGGATAGTTTGAAGAAATTAAAGCAGCAGTAGCACAACAAATAGATAAAATAAAGGGCAAGCTAAATATTTAGTTAATAATTTATTACTTTTATTCTATTTTAGTATTTAAACAATTATACCAAACGTTAAATTTAGATTTTAATTTGATATTTTATCATTACTAATTTAATATTGTTGTTGACATATCACCATAAGATAATGTCAGATCATCAATGAAAAAAATAAAAAAATATCATATCAATAATTATATTAATGTTTTAAACAATACGATACCAAATTGAAAAATAAATTAAATGTAAATGTGATTTTAAAAAGAAAAATATAAATATTAAAATAAATTAAAAATAATAATTTAGATACTAAATATATATTTTATCCTAAAATAAATTAAAGCATGGCTGAGAAAGAGAAAAAGAGAACGTGCAAAAGGAAAGTCAAGTTTATTCATACATAATTATTAGAGAAACACGAATTTAGTGATATCAATTGTAAAATAATTATTGTTATTTTTTTAAAATTTTGAGTTTAAGTAAATGCTTAAGGTACGAGTATATAATGTCAAAAATGTTAAAAATTACCTTTAAATAGATACTATCTTATACTTACTCTAAATTAATAAAAAAAATTATTAGAGACGAATGAGATCGGTTTGTTAAAGGTTTTACAAGTTTTGTTTATGTTTTTATGGATTCTGGCACTATTGAAGTAATGTTTACTAGAGAAGTCCTTTAGTTGATAAACAGTTTATGAAATGATAAGATGACGATCGAATTTGACCATTTGAATTTAATTGGATTATTAATAATTGTCAAAGACCAAAGGCAACATTCCAACCACTTTTATTTCATTAAATTTATCAAAATATTAATAAATTACTCATTGTTTGGCACAAATAGCCTTATAACAAACATATCGACTTTTTGGAATTTAAATTTCGACTCAATTTGGCTTGACTCGACTCGATATAGATCAAGGATTTAATTAAAAAGATATAGAGAAGATCTGTTATAGTAATTATCCAAAATTTATATGAGAATTATTCTATTATCCTCTGAGAAGGCACTAGACCCAGAATTTCTGATTTATGAGCATACACCCGAAGACTAACTTATCGAAAATACTCTTATTGTTAGAATTATTTGAAATAACTGAAATAAATGACAAGTTTGAATTAAATGAAAAGACTGGACGGAAGGAAAGGATTGAAATACCCTTGCATTGATGTACTGAATTGAAGATTTTTTGGAATCATGCTTATTTCAATTTTACAAGTTTGAAACCCAATAAGTGATGAACTTTGTACCTCAATGATTTGACATGTATGATATTAAAGTAAATGTTTGAATACTTGGTGAAAGTATAAATCTCGAGGTGATGATGCTCGTATAAAAGAAAACAGTTATGTTTGCATGTCACACTAGAAATAAGTAAGTGTTATTCTGATTAAGGATTGCTAATTAAGGTATGATTGGTTCTACAAGGAAAATTATGTTTAGATTCTGAAATTTTGACAAAGAAGAGATTTGTGCATAATCAACTGGTTAAGTAAAGGAATCGTAACCCTTTAAAAGATACCTAAGAGATTGAAGAATTGATTAAAACTCATTTCCCATATTTTTATAACTTGGGTAAATTTTGAGGATGAAATTTCTTTTAAAGAGGGGAAAGTTGTCACACCCCGAAGTTGAGGTAAAATTTTGAGGGACCAAGCTGTAAGTTTCTCAAGATTTTATGGCAGTTTCTAAATTTTCAGAGAGTTCAGGGACTCAACCTTGAGTTTTCCTATTCATTTAAACTAAAAAAATGAAGAAAAAAATAAAATAAAATGTCATTTGGTAGGATTGAACCCATAACCTGCTAGTATAAGATGAGTTAAGACTTTAATCATTAGGCTAGGTCTACTATTTGTGATATTTATAATAATAAATGATATTATAATAGTTTTGAATAAGATTTTAAATCCCAAAAAATAAAACCCTCTATTCTTATGAAACCCTAGAACCCCTGTACCCAAACTAAAACCCATTTCACTCAACCTTTGCCACCGTCGATCAGCTATTTTTGGCAAGTTCTGGACATCACCGTCCCCAGCAACAAAATCGACATTGTCCCACGACCCAACCCCAACTGTCATCGACTCCAAACTAGCCACTGTTAGTCACAAAAAGGGGGAAACTCGTTCGGCTTACCCCTCTTCGTTCGACGCTATAGTCCGTCGGTGGGCATCACTGCCTAGCTTAGAAGAAGCGTCTCTCTAGCTCGATCAACCCCTACCAGCCGTCGTCGCTAAACGCCCGTCGTTCGTCGTGGAGGAATCCTCAACAATTCACCAAAGATAACCCACATCGCTTCAATTTTTCAATTTTTTTACCGACCCCGATGTTTGTTGGCCATACTACCTCCACTATGAGACTCCCGAGGTGCTGATCTACAAGATTGAAAATTTTCACGTCGAACCGACGACCGGAGCCGCCGCACGCGTAGCTCCATGCGCGTAGGCATCGTCTGTCAACCAAGGGGGTTGTTGATTGGTTGAACCGGTCTGAAATTGTTGGGCTGGTCTGGACCGAGCCGTTTAAGATGAGTTGAGCCATATCGAGCCATTGAACGACCGTTGACTTTTTAGGGAACACTTATCCTAATGTTTTTCAGCATATTGTGTCCGTTTTTTAGGTTTGTTTCTCCAAATTCGGACCCGATAAATTGTTTTTCATTGATTAACCTCCCAATTCAATCCATTTTTCGTAATTAAACTCTGTTTTTGATGTAATTTCTGTTGATATGTATCTGAGGACGTTGGATTCAAGTTTGAGAGCAATCAATTAGAGTCAACCTTTACCTTTATTATATCATCAACATAAATTTGAACTACTAATAAATCTTTACCTTTATGCTTTAAAAACAATGTAGTGTCAACATTCCCTTTTGAAAAACCTTTTTCAATTAAAAAGTTTGACAATCTTTCATACCAGGCTCTAGGAGCTTGTTTTAACCCATAAAGCGCTTTTGCCAATTTAAGAACATGATTTGGAAATTTTGAATCTTCAAAACCAGGAGGTTGTTCCACATACACTTCTTCTTTTATAAAACCATTTAAAAATGCACTTTTAACATCCATTTGATATAATTTAAACTCATTGAAGCATGCAAATGCTAATAACATTCTAATTGCTTCCATCATAGCTACGGAGCGTATGTTTCATCATAGTCTATGCCCTCTTCTTGAGTATACCCTTGAGCAACAAGTCTAGCCTTGTTTCTCACTATATTACCACTTTCATCAATCTTATTCCTAAATACCCATCTAGTACCTACAATAGATTTATTACTAGGCTTTTCAACTAATGTCCATACTCTACTTCTCCCAAATTGATTTAACTCTTCTTACATAGCCATAATCCAATGTTCATCATCTAATGCTTCTTTGATATTCTTAGGCTCTATGCATGAAATAAATGCAACATAATTACATATATTTCTAAGAGAAGATCGAGTTGTTACCCCTTTGGATAGATCACCTATTATTTCACCATCCTTGACATAGTTGTATTCCATTGGGTAAGAGACTTCTCTTTCTTCAATGGTTGGATTCTAGAGAGGATCTTGAGTTTCTTCATCTTTCGTTTCTTCCTTTGAAGATGGTTCTCCAACGTTATGTCCAATGTCCTTTATGTTTATAATACCTACATCATCATTTGTACAAGAATCCTTCCTTGGAAGGGGATTATCATCGAAAACAACATGTATAGACTCTTCTACAACTAAAGTTTTTTTATTAAATACTCGATAAGCTTTAGAATTTAAGGAATAACCCAGAAAAATTCCTTCATCACTTTTAGCATCAAATTTGCCAAGATTGTCTTTACCGTTGTTTAAAACAAAACATTTACATCTAAAAGGGTGAAAATAGTTAATGTTAGACTATTTATTTTTAAAGAGTTCATATGGAGTTTTCTTCAAAATAGGCCTAATCATTACTCGATTAATAACATAACAAGCGGTATTTGTGGCTTCCGCCCAAAAATATTTTGGCAAATTGTTTTCACAAAGCATGGTTATAGCTATTTCTTCTAAAGTTCGATTTTTCCTCTCAACAACTCCATTTTGTTGAGGGGTTCTAGGTGCTGAAAAATTATGGCTAATACCATTAGAATTACAAAATTCAGTAAATCCAAGATTTTCAAATTCAGTTCCATGATCACTCCTAACACTAGTTATAGTCATTTTGGATTACTTTTGAAAACGTGATGAATTTTTCTAATGCTTCATCTTTAGTACTTAAGAATAGAACCCAAATATATCTAGAATAGTCATCTACCAATACAAATGCATATTGTTTTCCACCCAAGCTAGTAGTCCTAGATGGCCAAAAAAGATCTAAATGGATCAATTGTAATACTCTACTAGTGGATACATCATTAATGAATTTAAAAGAAATTCGCTTTTGTTTTCCTTTAGCACAAGCATCACAGATTTTATCATTATCAAATTTTAGTTTAGGCAACCCTCGAACTAAATCTCCTTGAATTAACCGTTACAAAACACTCATACTAGCATGTCCTAGTCTCCTATGCCATAACCAACTATCATGCTCATCCTTAGCAACTAGGCATAAATTAGTCATATCTGTAGAATCTAAATGCACCATATATATGTTTCCTATTCTATGACCAACAAGCATAATCCGATTAGATGCAATGTCAAAGACTTTACAACCATTAGTTTTAAACATGACATTGAATCCTTTATCGCATAATTGACTAATACTCAAAAGATTATGCTTTAATCCATTTACATATAAAACATTTTTAATTTGTATGGAAGAGGTATTACCTATTGTACATATACCTTCAATGTGACCTTTTGAATTATCACCAAAAGTCACCTCTCCTCCATTTTTGGCGTTGAGCTCTATGAA